GAACATTTCTAACCCCATAAATAATAGACTGCCTACCATGTTGTCTCCTGCCTAACTTCAAATTTGATGTCAGCAGCATATTCTAATCAGCTGCACCACATATTTCTTAAAATAGAAGTGCCGTACTCCACCATAATTCCATAAGCCCAGATTTCCAATTAAAGTGATGAATAAAACTTAAGCAACCAAAATCACATCTAACTTTGGAGTACGGAACTTGGATACAGTATGGAGAAAGGCAGAACACTTATTGCCGCAGATGGATTTTTTTTTATTTTTTATTTTAAAAGGTCAAGGTACCATTATTCCATCAGATATCAAGATGCACTGATCCATACGCTAGAGAAAAAGGGACCATTTCCACTCCAGGCGAAAAACAATTCAAGCCAAATAGAAAGAGTCAAAACAAAGAGAGTGCTGCCATTAGCTGCTGTTCACACATTAACACATGGGCATGGTTTTGTGGATGACTTTTAGAAAAGTCAATAGAAAGGGAGCTTGCAGGTAAGAGACAGAAGGAAAGATTAAATAGACATGGAAAAAACCCAAAAGGGCTAAAAATTAATTTTAAATAATGATGAGTCAAAAGACCTTCTTCAACTTTAAACTACTTGTGATCTATTGTTTAGTAATATGGACAAAATAATTATTTTAAGACTATCTTTGCATGAGTATCTACCTAATGACACTGAAGGAAAATTAAGGGAATTTAGAAAAAATGTATATATATATCCATTTTTACCAATCACCAATATCTAAAATAAATGGGGAAACAGAGTATCAACATGAGGAAAACAAGTTTTTATTTTTTTGCCATAATAGATATACATTATTGATTGACAGGAAGATTATTTGGGGGGAAAAAAAAAAAAAAAAAAAGAGCTAAGAAGCCCTAAAAATGGCTTTCTCACAGAAATGGATTTGACAATAAAGGAAATTATTTACAATAATTTTTATTTATTTAATTAGTAAAGTATACAGTATTTTCTTGAATTATGAGTACCTCATTTTTAAGTCTGACATTCTTGAAAGGAGTTATATCTGTTCACAATCTTAGTTAATACATATCTTCTCTATTATTGACAAAAAAGGACATACAACTTGAAAAAACGTTTTATGGAATCCATTTGAAGAAATTCTTTTTAGGTTTTTTAGTAGAACAGTGTGTTCACGTAGCATAATTCCCATTTCATACATAACATTATATTCATTTGGAGTTTCAAATAAACACACTGTGATACCCTGTTCTACAGTCCAAACTGCATCCTAGAAGCAAACTCCACTGATGACCCTAAACTGCAGTCAAATTCATTATTAATTTTGTCTCTAACAGGTAATGCATTTTCCCATAAAATAAACCTACAAGTAAATATGTTAAAATACGTTAATATTAAAAACATTTAAATATATAAAATAATAGAAATATCATTTCAATTCCAATTCCTGTGTGAGGTCTACTAATGCAACATTCTAGGTTTTAAAGCATAACAGGAACTTTTCTAGATGATTTCTGCTGAAACTCAATACATATGCTTCTAGGGACTGACTAGAGTAATAATTCCATCATACATAAAATCCATGATGATGAGGTATTATCAAAGAATTGAAGTTTTCTCACCAACTTCAATCAGAAAAAGGTATTTAAGAGGTCACTAGCCTCAGTCGCTAGGACTGGAACAGAAGATGTTGGATTTCCTGACAAGTCCAACTAGAAGTGTTTGATGTCCCATGTTTTTCTTTGGAATGAAAAGAGTAAGATTGTCTTTATCATCTGAAATCATTTGGACAAACTTCCTATTCCTGAAATACCTGCCAGAAAAGAAAAAGAGAAAAAAAGGGAGGGGAACAACCCTCGCCCACCAATCAGGCCCACGTAACTGGTTGTCCTGTGCAAAAGAGACCGGATTCACAGCTGGGATAGACATTAAGCGGCTGCTTTGAGCAAGGGTTGAACCTAGATGACCTCCTCAGGTCTTCAAAGTTGAATTATTCTGTGATACTACAATTACCTTTGACCTGAGCATATGCAGGTCGGCACCATTAACATCAGTTTTTATATCAACAAGTCCAAAAACTTATGGTCTAGTGGAAGATATAGTCCTTAAAGAAGGAACTTCTTTACTGTAAAATAGTACGAAGTAAAGCAGTAGCAAAGAAGCGTGGCTGACAGGAACTTCCTCTCTGCAGATTTTCAGACATCAGAAAGCCAGAGGTAGTAAGTGCCTACTGCAATCTGCTGCTGTCATTACTGACTTTTCAACTCCCTAAGCAACAAGTTTGTTCTGTGCACAAATCGGTATCAATTAGGCATTTCACCTACAAGATCAGCCAGGACTTTCACGCTGCAGACAACTGCTCCCCAAAGTTGTGGGTAGGCTTTATTAAGATCTTTGGCCTTCTTTCTTTGAAGAGGAGGTAATGCAGAGGGCCACAGAAGAGAGCAGAACATTTCTTCTGAAGGATTTTTCAACTACTTCACCAATAAACTAATTTAGTCACAGAAGAACTGTTACTTGTTTATTCACTAAATCCACTTAAGGTTTAAAAGACATCAAGGTAAGTGCAGACCTTGTTTTAGATGTTGCTAGCAGAAGAATGCATTACAAAATTTAAAATTTCTACCACAGTTGACCACAAACTGGGGAAAATAACAGCTCTTGACTTCTAATCTGTTTATCCAGCCATAACTTCCACTCAGTTGGATGTTGTTATACCCTGTGCTTTATGAATCAATTTGCAGAAGCTTTTAATGCTAATTGCAAGTTATATCTGAAGGACCTCTATTTAAAAATAAGATAAATGTGTATCTAATACTGGACACCCAACAAAAAACTGCAAACTATTGCAGCTTGAACAGACAAGCCATAATAAATACTTTTTGTGTTAATACACAGCACCTGAGTTTTGCTCCAGTGGGGAATAAACATCACCTTGAAAGTGTTTGCAAAACACTCAAAATGCCATATACAACCATAATAAAATAAGCGTATTATGTCACTTCAGTTACTGTAGAACATCCTGTGCCAACCATAAAAGAGCAGCTAAATATCTGAATGACTGTGATTAAACCTGTTTTTCTTAAACTGGGAAGCATTTAGAATTACACTGTCCCTAGAAAATCAGAATATACACACATACATGTACAACCTCGCACACAGACAGGTTCAGATCCTGGCAATGACAGGCTATGAAGGGCAAGAAGGAAGGCTTCTATGAATAAATCAGCAGCAAAAGAAAGTAAATGTGGGCAGACTTTCTTGGTGGGGAAGGAGACCTAGAGACAGAAGACGGGCACTCAATGCCTGTTTTGCCGCTGTCCCCTGGGACACACACAGCTCCACTCCAGGGACCCTGACAGGATCCATCTGTGAGGGGTGAAGTCAAAATCATTACCAGTTTGTTCTCTACCACCTCTGAAAGGTCACAGCAACTGGGGGAGGTTCCTGTTTACTGCAAAAGGGCACGTGTCATGCCCATCTTCAACAAGGGTAACAAGGAAGATCTGCAGAAGAACAGGTCAGAATTCCAGTTAACTTCAGGTCCTTGGACACCATTTCTAAATACATGAAGAGAAAGATAACTGACTAAATTGATCACAAGTAAATTGTGCCTAATCAACCTGATTGTCTTCTATAACGAGATAACTCAGTGCCCAAGGAGTGAGCAGTGTATACTGTTTATCTGGACTTTAGCAACGTATTCAACATGGATTCCTATAGTATTCTACAGGCCCGTCGGGTGAGTGAGTGATCAGCTGGGTGGAAAGCCAGCTGGACCATCAGGCTCAAAGAACCATCATCATCAGTAGTATCAAGTCCAGGTTGGCAACTGGTGACCACTGGCATTTCCCAGGGACGGATTCTGAGACTGTTTGATGTTTAAGGATGCAGTGTACCTTCAGCAACTTCATGGATAACAACAACCAGGGGCAGCGGCTGATATGCTGGAGGGCATCCGAGTTGCTATTCGGAGGGACTGGAAAGGCTGGGAAAACGGACTGACAGGAGTCTCATTCAGTTCAAAGACACACACAGACTGCTGCATGTGGGATGGAATACCACCACACACCAGGAGAGACTGGCGCTCACTGGCTAGACACTAGCTTTGAGGAAAAGGACCTGAGGGCCCTGGTGGACAAGAAGCTGGCCATGAGTCAGCAGCAGGTCTGTGGCAGAGGGTATGACAAGAGGCAGCAGACACAAGTTGCCACTTGGGAAATTTCAATTGGCTATACGGAAACATGTTTTCCACCATGGTCAGACATTGGAACAGGTTGCCCAGAGAGGATGTGGCATCTCCGTATTTGGAGATTTTCAAAACTTAATTCTTAAACATAATCTGATTGAACCTGCTGAAGAGCATGTCAGTGGCTTGGACCAGAAGACCTCCACAGGCCCTTTGCATCCTAAATTATCCTATGATGGGTATTTTTATTCAATTCTGAAAAGTCAACCAGAGCTCAATTACTGACAGGGTGCCACATAAACCTCCAGATATACCACAAATTATTTGGCTAGACACTGCTGTTAGAAGAGCTGACAGGGTATTCTGTGAAACAGTATTTCATTGTGAATTCTATTATCACAGTGTCATTGGATCACGGACCGGGGCCTGTCTGTGGAAGATCATGACTCTTTTGTTTTGTACTGCAGTCATATCTAAGATAAGAGATGCCTGATGGATAAGCACAAATTGAAATAAGCAGAGACACCATCAGACAGTATCACAGGCAATCAACTGGAACCTGGTCTCCTACGTATGTGGTGACTCAGACTCACTGGCTAGCTGGAACCTCATTCATCGGGAGATGGAAGGCAAATGAAGCCAGCATGCAAGAGACCCAAAACAGAAGGAAGGGGTTTTTTCACATCACAGTTAAGCTAGAACTCACTGTCATGGGTTGTTTCTGCTGCCAAGAAGTTTACACTGGGCTGAAGGCTATTCAATTCAAGGGAGATAGAGCTGTCAAGAGCTGTGAGACAGAAAAACACCACACCTACCTCGGAGAGTCCCCGAGCTGCCTCATCTCCACAGGCGGAGAGAATGTAATGGAACAGGAAGAGTCCTTCTACACTCCATCCCAGGCACTTCTGAGCTATTGGCTATTGCTGGAAACAGGGTATTTAGGCTAGACAAACTCCTGATTCAATCTAGTTTCCATTCCAGTAATTCACTTTCATGTTATTACTTTGGGCAACTGGTCTTTATTCCTACACAAGCTGCTTCAATCCCTACAAGTAATTACAAGGAAATAAGACAGAGAGTCCTTCAGCCTCCGTATTACATGCTCTGGACAAAAGAGGACATCAGGTGTCAAACTCAGAAATATACAAGGAAAAAGAGAAGAGTTTCAACAACAGAGACTAAGAGAAACCATTCTGAAACGAGCAGTACATTGTATCTTGCCTCAAACATGAGAAAATGAGAGGCTGGGCTCAAATGCCAGCTCTGGCAACAGCCCGATCAAGTGCCACTGCTATAAAGCAGGCTATGAGCTTGCGAAAAAGATTTGAAAGGACTCAGTATCAGCCCTATGTGGAATAAAACATTTTTCCTAATCTTAGCAATACAAAGAACAAGAAAACTATTTACCATTTAGTGGCATTTTAAAGTCATACTGTATCTATTTTAAGATGACTTGTAAACCTTGGAGGTGGCACTACAATTACATATACATACAGCTATATTATAAGAAAAAAATTTTCAAAACTTAGGATATAATAGAATAAAGATTGAGCACCCGACCTTACTTCACTTTCCCTTCCACGTCATGATAACCCTTCCAGCACAGAATGGGTGAAATATTGCAATATTACTTTGTGTCTTCCTTCCCAGATGCAACTTCGTCTCTTGCTCGGTGAAAACAAAACCAAGGGAATTAAGTGTATAAAATTTCTCTTTGGTAGTTTAAAAACAACATTTCAGGTACCTTCAGTGTTCTAGGAACTTGATTTTCATTACTGCACAGACAATGCAAAAACCACTCACACTGCAGTTTCTGAAATGCCATGACTGATTATCAATTTTACAGCTGGTTAAACCTCATTCTAGTTAAAAAAAGGCTATTTGTTGTGGTAATACTCTAGATGGTAACTCTGAAAAAGTGGGACACTTGGTCTGGCATTTGCATAACGACTTCCCAGAACATTCTTCTTCCCAAATGCTCCAGCTGTAGGTGCAAATCAAACAGTTGGGCGTGCTTATGTATGCAAGATCTTTTTGTTTGCATTTCTGAAAACGAATCACATCAAATTAGCACAGGAAACTGTAGTCTTTTTAGAAGAGACTGAAGATCAGTGAGTTCCTTACTCTTTTACTGCTGTGTGAAAACACTTGCAGTTGTAGCAATATTTTAAATAAAAGATTTATCTTTAAGAGAACTCCAGTATCTTATTGTTTTAAGACAGAACGACTAGCTCAGTTTTCAATTTTGCAATAGTTACACAATTTTACCAACCTAGGACATTACTGTTTTCAAATCCAATTCAAAAGAAGACATCTCTACCAACCCAAGCAGTACTGTGAAATTGCTCTGCAATTAGAAGTACTAGAATAAATATATTTTCTTCACAGCAAGGAAGATGTTTCTGAGCTATTGTACACTCGCTCTTCTGTTCATTACAGATGAAGTGAAATTAAAGGTTTTGCTGTACATATGGACATTCACCCTTTTAGCCATGAGACCTGTAATGTGATTTTCAGATGGACATACTGGACAAAGTTTTCAAGCTCTCAAGAAAAGATCCCATCCCAAACCACTACATTTTGAAGTCAATATGCACCTTTATTTTCTTTTACTCTTTAATCCTGGTCCCTAACTTCCTGTACGCAAATCAGGAAGATGAAGGTATGCTGGTGAAAGATAAAAAGGATCCCCTTTTTACTTTCAACTCAGAGAAAACATTTCAATACTAATGCACAAATACAGCATTGTAAAATCAACACACTACATTTTTAATCACTTAAAACAAAGGTGCAATAACCCACGATGCAGCTTACTTTCTAATACTTATTTCTAAACTTTGATATCACCCTGTACTACACACTAGGCAATTCTATATTTAAGCCATCTCTTCACTCGGAATGCCATCACTCTCAGTGGAAATATTTTAGTTAGATACCAAAATAGAAATCCTAGAAGCAGTAATCCTTTATGCTGACTCATTTATCTGAAAATATAACTTCAGTGCTTCGAAAGCATATGCCTAACTTCAGTGTATGCTCAAATCACCCATGTTTAAGTGTACTTTTCAGAAACACTGAATTACAGTTATTGTTTTCACCACAGTAACAACTATTTGTGAAACTTCACTAATGTGCAACTAGTCCCTGCCTTTTTGTCTGATCCTACAGCAACTTAAAAACATCTGAATAATAAACTGACCACAAAGTGCCTGTTTGAAAAGTACATGTAACTGTATTTACCTAATGGCAGCAATGTAAGCCCCATTCTACAAAGGATAGGTGAAGAAGTGTTAAAGAGGCTAAGAAATACTGCAGTCATCAGATTAGGAGATATTTAAGACCTGAACATTAATCATCGCAAATATTGATGAAAGTTTGTCTTGAAAACTAGATCCCATTTGTTCATGCTAAGTATTTGGAAGAATGAAAATCCACAGACAGGTTTATACAGTAAATCACAGTACTGAAAATCCAAGTTTATAGTAAAATGATCAGAAAAGACAGGCTAGGGTTTTAGCAGACATAATGCAGACAAGAAAGGGGGTCAACAGTTAAAAAGATGAACGGGTAGAAAAGGATTACAGAGGGAAATGCCAAAGATCATTCCAAAGAAGTTTTGAAAGGAATTCTAAATATTGTTATCACTTAGACTTAGGCAAAAGGAGGAGAGGACCAGATAAAATTGTTGTGGCCTTTTTCACGCTGAATTGTTTAATTCAAATTATAAACCAATGTTTCTGCATTGAGTTTAAATCCCATTAACTACTAAACTATACGATAAATTGTAGTTAGATATTAAAATTAAAAAAATAAATATCAGCAAATGAATTAAATGGAAATTTAACACCGTAACTTCCACTGAACCATACTGTGGGATAAACTGAACCTGCTTATTTCAAAAGTGAGCTTTCCTGTAAAAATTTTAAATGTTATTAACACAAGCTAGTGTTAGAATTCTAGAACTACTTCTAGAATTATTTTCAATTTTTGCTCATAAATTTCTTTAGTAAAAGGACTATGTAATTTCTTTGCAGGTGCCCCTGCGTACATTAGAGCCATGGTTTAGGAGTGGACAGGTATGGTTGGACTTGATGACCTTAAAGGTCTTTTCCAACAAACAATTCTAGGATTCTATACATATATAACAAATAGCACACCAATAAAGCATCGTAACTGACAATCAGATTGCGACCTCTTATCTGAGTCCTTCCCAGTTTCAGCTAGGGAAAAATACACGTGTCTTAAAGTTGCTTGTTGAGCCAGTAAGATAGGTTTCTTTCAGGTCATGCACCAGTACATGTACATCACACAGTATAGGATTGTAAATGGTTTCCAGGATCCCCCACATCCATGGGAATAAAGTGGGGATAAATAATCTGGAAATGGAAGTTTGTCGCTTTGTAATGCTAGGTTAACGGTTGGACTCTATGATCTTATGGGTCTTTTCCAACCTAAATTATTCTATGATAAGCAATCCAGTAGGCTTACAAAGCATGAGTGGGGATGGCAGCGCCTTGGACATGAAGGCACAGGCAAATGGGATGCCTTTCAGGTAGACAGCATAAGCTGCATAGGGAACAGGTCAAATAGAAAAACCCCAAGTTTAAAAGTCACATCTTCTACCAAGAAGACAACCCTGATTTCATAATTGCAAGTGCCCCGAGTTCCCCAGGAAAGGTACTTTACAAGAAGCCAATGAAGTCTTCCCCAGTGAAAATGCCCAAAGCAGTGACTTAGCCCCCATGCAGACATGCAGAGTTGCATTTTATGCCAATGACCATGTTTCAGAGCAATACCAGCAGCAAAGGCTATGCCCAGAGTCCAGCACAGCCTTACTGCTGCACTGAGAATGAAAAGGTGGATGATCTCAACAGCTGTTACTTGCATTTCCTATTGAAACTGGAAATGCAGGCAGACTTCTTGACGGAGACTTCTGCCTGGAGTAGGTGCACAACCACACAAGATTACTGTTGGACTTCCTTTCTGCTTCCTTACTAATTTTCACTCTACCATTACCACAGCTCCATGCTGCAAACTCAACACTCAGATTAGCAACTAACTTTCTTCATTGGGAAACAGGATCAGTTTAACAAAAATGCTACAATTCCACCCCCTTCTTAGGCAAAACCAGCAGGAGAAAGTACACTGTGAATGAGAAGCAAATGGCCTCAAGATCAAAGGCAAGTTTGAGAGGTGTCATAATTTAAAATAAGTGAATGTTTACCAGTATCATCCATTAGTTACAGAACATCTACCTATGCAATGAAAGAAACTAGAGCACCTCAGCAGCATCGCTATTGTATCACCTGCTTACTCCCACTTTGGTAGGAGTTTCTACAGTTCAGGAGTTACTCAACACTTAGAAACCTTGTACTTATTTGAAGTGTCCCTTGTCTACAGTTGTATAAATACATTTGTTAAAAGTGCTGAGTGCTGTATATAGTAAGAGTACTTAAACCAAACCAAGAAAGCATAGCACCTTTTTGTGAAGCATCTTTCAAAGTAGTTAAACCTGTAATTTGGGAGAAGTCTTCATGGACCACCATCATTGAGAACTGTGCATGAAAGTTGACCCTCTTCCTACATAATTCAACTGCTGACTGAAATTTTACAGATTGTTATTCAGCTTTTAAAAACTCAAACAACTTGAACCAGATATACAAAACATACCATACTCAAATACATGCTCAAAAGGGATCTCTCGCTTCACCCCTATGAAGCACTCTTAGCAAAGCCAACCGCCGGTCCTGTGCCTGCCAGCTGAGGCTGTGCAGAGGCCTCAAGTCCCTTTAGACATACAGGATTAAGATCCTGAAATCCACCCCTGTGCCAAGA